TCAGATCTCTCTCTCTCTCTCTCTCTCTCTCTCTCTCTCTCTCTCTCTCTCTCTCTCTCTCTCTCTCTCTCTCTCTCTCTCCACTATAGTGATATACGTGGGCACAGCACGCTCGGAAATTTCAAGATGAGAAAGAGAAAGAGAGAGGGGAGAACGAGAGAAAGAGAGAGAGAGAGAGAGGGCAAACAGAGGGCAATTGCAAATGCCATTAACAGAGAGAGAGAGAGAGAGAGAGAGAGAGAGAGAGAGAGAGAGAGAGAGAGAGAGAGAGAGAGAACACAACGTACCTCGATCAGCCATCACCACTAACTTCGCCCACCACTGATTGACAATGCGTCTTCACTTGCCTCCGGTGTCTGGCACTTCGCATGTGCACAACGGCCACCCCACGTCCTCTTCCCGCAGCACTGATTGGCAACACTTCGTCACTCGCCTCCGGTGTCTGGCACTTCGCACATGCACAACGGCCACCCCACGTGCTCTTCCTGCTGCACACGGTCCCGTCGCACGTGCGCAGCAACCTTACATTTGTCTCCTCTTTGTGGCTCCAAGAGGCGTTTGCTGTCCTCTTTGCAGCACAACACCCTTCTTATAGGCACGTGCACATGGGTCCCCTCCTCCCTCTTCGCCCCGCCCACTGCCTCTTCCTCCCCCGCCCCTCTCCTCTGTACGTTCGCCATAGCCACGCATCGACACGCATCCATCGTGTCCCACGTCCCGCCCACGGAGATCGTCCGCACCCGCCTCCCGTTCGCCCCCACCTTCTACGACGGCACCCCGTCGGCCTTGGATTCTCCCACAGAGGTTGGTCCCCCCCCTCCCTACCCGATACTTCGCTCCGCGCGTAGGCCTGCCCCCCGCCCCCGTCGGCCTTGGATTCCTGCACGGCGGTTGGTCTCGCTCCTCGCGTCGACGAGCCCCCCGCCCCCCTTCCTCCCAACGCTGCACGTGTTGGCCTCGCCTCCCTCCCAACCGTCGCCTACGTGCCTGCCGCGCTTTGGCCCGCTTCACTTTTTCGATGTGCGCCTACCTCTTCGCCCCGCTCCTCCATACGTTCGCCATAGCCACACATCGACACGCATTCATCGTGTCCCACGTCCCGCCCACGGAGATCGTCCGCGCCCGCCTCCCGTTCGCCCCCACCTTCTACGACGGCACCCCATCGGCCTTGGATTCCCCCACAGCGGGTGGTCCCCCCCCTCCCTACCCGATACTTCGCTCCGCGCGTAGGCCTCCGCCCCCGTTGGCCTTGGATTCACGCATGGTGGTTGGTCTCGCTCCTCACGTCGGCGTGCCCCCCGCCCCCCTTCCTCCCAATGCTGCGTGCGTTGGCCTCGCCTCCCTCCCATCCATCGCCTACGCGCCTGCCGCGCTTTGGCCCGCTTCACTTTTTCAATGTGCGCCCCTCCCAACCGTTGGTCCGCTTTGAATTTCGTGGGCCTCCGCCTCGGCCCCCCACCCCTTCGCCTCGGCCTCGCCCCCACACTGGTCCCACTGCCCGGTTCCCGCCTCGCCCTCATTCCGCCACAGGTTCCACAATTTTCGTTGGGCCAGCAACCAGGCATGTCGCCGGGCCCTTTGTTTGCTTTAGTAGTATAGAGATAGAGAAGATAGAGATAGAGATAGAGAAAAAAAAAAGGTTTGTGTGGTTGTCCTTCGGGACATCCATTGAAATTGGAACAATACAAAGAAAGAAGATTAGCATGGTCCCTGCGCAAGGATGACACACATAACTTGAGAAATGGTCCCCCCCCCTCCACCCCGCCCCCCTGAAAAGAAGAGGAAAAAAAAAAAGAATAGTTTGTGGAGTCCTAGCTACTTATTGGGGAGTCCATGGTCGTGGAGTCAGAGGGATTACTCACAACACTGTTCTCCAAGAGGAAGGCCTTACTGGACTACACACCAGCTGAACACTCAGTTTGGTTTGCACGGGGAACACGCAGATTGGTTTGCAAAACCCAAACTGAGTTTGGTTTGCAAAAACCAAACTGAGAACTGAGTGCCCAGCTGGCGTATAGTCCCCGCTATCTCACGGGGAAAGTGGGATGGCAGAGAGGAAGGAGATTGGCCAGCTACGGGATGGACTGACAGTTAAGCTTTGCAAAGGAAGCGATCAATGCTGTGAGGGTTCGCTAGGCCGTAACATAGGGAGGTGTCAAGAGTGGGTAGCTTACGTAATTCTCTGACGTGCCAGTGGAATCAGGCAGACAGTGAAGCACACTTGATTTCAGACATTCCAAGAATGAAACAGTTCAACCTTTATAGCAAGTAACATGGAGCACAATAAGTCCATTGAAATCCCTTTGTCAACAACTATGTGTACTTTGGCTTTCTTTGGGGTACTCCATTCATTTGCTCTTGCAGCTCCCCTTTTACTATGCCTCTCACATACAAGGCTGGCCACGTTGATTGTGGTTGAGCGCCAGTTGCCTGCATCCCCGTGTGCCTTAACGGCACACCTGCACGTGATGAAAGGAGCCAGAGTAAAAGGGGAGCATACACCTGTACATTTTTCTTGAGCTCTTCAGCTTATATATTGTCTGTTCTCTTAACGATGCTCAATCATGTGTATTTATCAGTACACAAGGGGAGGGAGGAAGGAAGAAAGGGGTAGGGGTGGAGTCTATAGGAAGTGTGTGTGTGTGTGTGTGTGTGTGTGTGTGTGCTGTCTCTTATACACATCTAGATGTGTATAAGAGACAGCGGTGTCACTGTGCGACACTATAAGAAAAGGAAGAAAAGTAATTTTAAAAACTTAAGAAAAAGAAAAATGGCGACGGAACACGGTTCTGGGTGCTACGGGGTTCNGAGAGAGAGAGAGAGAGAGAGAGAGAGAGAGAGAGAGAGAGAGAGAGAGAGAGAGAGAGGTACCTGAGGCTAAGTTCTCATTGACCTTGCGCTGTCTCATGGCAACCGCTAATGTATCTGCATGGGGCTTTCTCGGTGGCATGAACACCGCAGGGGCAGACGAGGGACGCTTCTGCAAGTGAGGAGCCATTGGCACAATTTCAATTTGGACATCACAGTATGAGATTCGAGTTCAAAGCGCCAGATTTGTTTGCAACTTTGCATCCTCTGGCCCAAGGATAGAGCCACACTGCATGAAATGGCCACAACTCGTGTGCAACTCATAACTCCATGGGTAACCCCGGGGAAACTTTATTTATCTGCCACCAATGGCACCCATCAAATCACGTGCAACAAAAACACTTGTACAAACATACATAACGTCGCTGAACAATACACAACTGCTAATAAGCGTCTAATGAGTTGAACTTTGAATCCTGAGGGAGTCAGCTGGGTATAATGATGTAAGTGTTAGGGGTTACCCCCTTTAACAAAAGCGTGGCCAAAGGAAATGTAAAGGACAAACACACATAAATAACTCGTACAAAAGTTGTATGACTCATAACTCAAGTGGTGGAAAACTTCGCTAGAAGGCGAACTAGTACACAACTGTAGGAAGAAAATGGTTGAAAAAAAAGGAGGAAGAAAAGGGTTATAGAACCTTCCCATTTCCGAACGCCCATGCAAATCAGCCAGTCTTTCAGGTGGAGAAGTAGAGTTTATTGCATTGAAGAAGCAGCTATAAATGCCATACTTGAACAGGGCACAAAGTGTATTGAATTTCCAAAACTGAATTGGACACCATTTTTTGCGCTCGCGCCAACAAGGTTAGCGATACGCTAAATAGTGTGCCTCCGTGCTGCAAATCGTCCCCTGGCTCGCCCGAACACACGACGGGGCGGGCTCCCGGTAGGAGCGAGGGAAGGCCCAGGACAGAACAGGAGGGGACACACAGACCTGTGCAGGTTTCTCCAATTTCGAAATCTACCAGGATGAAGATGGATGGGGGAGAAGTCTCCAGAGCCGGCTGCGCCATGCCCTAGGGCATGGCGAGAGTGGGCCAAAGGGCCTGGTTGCATTACTCCCCATACACCAAGTTTGGCGAGTAGGCACCTGGTTGCACTTACTCGCCAAACTTGGCAAATGAAAAATATGTCAGACTGCTCGCCACACCGTCGACACAAGTTGTGGCGAGTGTTTTCGGTTTCCCCGCCTGTGCATGGTGGTTTGTGGAGGGTCGTCCTCGAACCTCGCCACAAAACAACTTTCTGGAGAGTGCACGGCTTCACGAGTGGAGATCAGGTAGACAAAATTTTCAAACTTTTCTGTAGAAGAAATATAGTGGCGAGTAAGTGCAACCAGGCCTCCAGTTCGGCTCTCATTTTTTTCACTCTCCACCCATCCGCCACAAATTGTGGCAGATGGCGAGTAGTGCAACTAGGCCCAAAGGCTGGAGCAAGAGGGATAGGAGGTAACGAACAATGTTTACTACCATAAGGAAGGGAATAGAGGCAACGAGAGAACGTGAGGAGAAAATGTCAAGTCTCAGAACCGTAAGAGGAGGAGGAAAGAAAAGAGGGAGAGGAGGAGAGTGAGGAAACTAGGGAAGGTACAAAGACAGGATGAGAAGGAGCGGACAAAGGTACTTTTCGCAAATATCTCAAACTAACATCGTTTTTCTATTATCTTTAAATAATTTCTGCATTAATATCTTGATTTATTCGTGTCTGTTCATAGCTTGTAATTCATATTTCTTATTTCCTATTTTATTAATTGGAAAGGTTTTTTTTTTTTTTTTTTTTTTTTTTTTTTTTTTTTTTTTCAACCAAAGCAACAGTTCATTAACCAGTACGGGAAGGAGGCCGGGGACCTCGCAAATCAACCCGGATATATCTGACAGCATCAGCCAGCTTAGCTTACAGGTTTTCACCTGCGGAGGTCAGACTAGCTGACTTCCAGTCCTAACCTGTACCTGTCTGTATTCTACTTGCAAGCTTTAAACATAGCAAATACTGGCTACAACCTGCCTAACACCCCCGCAAACTCGTGAATGCTTAAAAGGTCTATCAGTTGACATTAAAGTAGAACAGAGACTTAGCATTGAAAACTTCGATATGCAGGATTGGCACCGCCTGCCTGMAGGCTCACCCACTTCAGGGACTAAAACGGCCCCGAGGACCCGGAGCGGTCCGGCCCTACTGACACTCTCCTAGCGGCCCACGGTRGCCTTACTCAACCGAGTKYCCTGGTTGGGCGCACAACTACCTCCCTATTCAKCCTGTCAAGAACCAGTACCGCCTAGCCTCACTATAACCAGTTGAGGCTAGGCTTGTCTAACTTCTATCACTAATTCTTGGTTCCCTTATCTGTTTCCAGCAGCCACTCAGCGAGGATCAAGCCCTTGAGCGGATGWAGAGATGCAAGYTGTGGGCACATTCCCCACGTCCTTCGAAACCAGCGCAACTGACGTGGACTACCTTTCCCTGCTTTTGCTTTCCTTCTCCAGTCCACCAGTATAGCGTGTCTCAGACCTTTTTTATCATGAACTTGATTTCCAGAGCCGACATGTATTTCCTCTGGAATCTCGACCTGTTCCTGTCCGTCCAAATGACTTCACAGATCAGTCCCCTGATCACGTGAGCCATATAACCCCATCCCCTGTGGGATACTGTGTTTGGAGGAAGAAAGCCCAGCAACACCCATTTTTCATCCCAGTTCACTTCCTGTCCTCCGAATTCCCTCCAGTGGTGGGTCCACCAGTTCCAGATCCTTTTGGATGYTGGACAGTCCCACCACAGATGCCGGGTGGACTCGAACGRCCATCTGCACCTGGTACAGCCAGGTTCCACCCCCATTCCCTTGCTTAGGAGCCAGACTGCCGACGGGGTCRCCATCAGGGAAAGGAGCCAGAGGATGCTTACCTGCTTCCCATTRGGGAGTAGGGTYAGTGCCTTCCACAATCTCTCGAAGTCTTGTTTCKCGTTCGTCAGCTMTTCGCCCCAGACCGCCTGCCAACGTGAGGTGRCCACCTGCACTGGTTCTTTGATCTGTCTTGCGGACTGCTGGTATCCTTCCGCCACCGTGTACTCTAGCAATCTGAGGGGGGGCTTCTCTGACCCTCCGCTGACCCAGCCCCAAGCCAGCGGATCAATGCTGAGCTGTCGCAGAGGGGTCTTTCCCACCCAGGTGAGCCTGTTCGACAACGATCCTTTACCCTTCCACTCCACTACCCGGACCTGGGCAGGGTTGTCCCACTGCATGACGGTCTCTTCCTCTATCCAATCTAGGACATTGAATGGACCGGAACAGCGCCAGCGGTCTACTCTGCGGAAACCACTTGGAAGTATCTCTTTCACTTTCCACAGCGCGTTGCCCTCCAGCTCCTGATCTGAAACGTACCAGACCCCGAGCGGGTCTAGACCCTCTGGACCTAGCAACTCCAACCAAGTATGAGGAATAGAGTTAATGATTTCTCGCCAGTGTCGCTCTACTAGTTGCATCCCTCTTAACGATTCCTTCAGTTCCGACAGCGGTCTCCATCCCCCTAGGGCAAGGGACCACAGATCCTTGATCCGGACTATACCCCGCTTGACCCAAGCCTGCCCAAAGCTGCCTGTCGATCCATCCACAGGGAATGGACCAGAGTTTTGTTTGGTGATATATGGGTTCTCAAACAAAATCTGGTTCAGGACCTCCTCCTTGGTAGTCGGAGTGCTCTGCATATCAGGCGGGGCCTGCTGCCATGCTTTGCGGATTGCCTCCCAAAATGCAGACTTGAGTCTCTTCTTTCTGAATGACGGAATGAAAAAACATGCCCAGACATCCTTTGCCTTCTTCAGTCCCCAATCAGACATCAGGATGCGTTCAGCAAGCAGTACCCAGTGCTCCAACTCAGATCTTGTGGCAACCTTTGCTACCCAGCCTCTCAGCTGAGCCTGGTTCTTTCGCGCGGGGTCAATGAGTCCCAGACCCCCCTTTTCCCTGGGGTATGTCAGCAACTCCATCGCAACTTTAGATATGAAACCTTCGCTGTTCTGAGAGTGCGGCTTCCATAGGAATTTGGCTACTAACCTCTTGATGAACTTAACGATGCCCGCTGCTAACTCCCTTACCGTGGAGACAAACCACAGGATGGAGAACAGCGCGACATTGGAGACCAAAGCTCTCCCTATGATGGATAGGTGCCAAGCCGTGCCCTAGATTCTGAGGCGAGCTGTGATTCGCTGCTGAAGGAGAAGGCCTTGGGAGGTTGCTCCCACTTGCAGTCTGATCAATACCCCCAAAAAACGCTCCTCCTCCCCATTCTCCACTCTCCTCATCCCCCATTCTACCTTGAGTTCAAACTGGGCCGACAGCAGGTAGGTGGGCTTGTTCCAATTAACTGAGGCTTCCGACAGGCGAGAGTAGTCTCGCATTACCGTTTTCAAGGCGGTCAGAGATCCTGCTGTGTTTTCGCTTACTGCGAAGAGGTCGTCCGCCAACGCCTTCACTCTGCAGTCCTCCCCGTTATGCAGCTGCAGTCCTCTTATGTCYGGATRTCGCCTTAYCTTGTTCRGCARCAMTTYCATCTGCAGCACGAAGACAAGAGGGGCCAGGGGGCAACCCTGGCGAAGCGACCTTGACAGTGGGAACGGCTCTGAGAGGTGACCATTTATCATGACCGCTGATGAGGCRTGKGTGTACATGGCTATGATCCAGGCGCARAAGTTCTCTCCAAARCCCATCCTTCTCAACGTGGTAAGGACGAAAGTCCACCCCACTTTGTCGTATGCTTTCTCCAGATCCAGGAGGAGCACCGCTACGTCCAAGTTCTCTTTCTGCACCACCTCCAGAGTCTCAACTGCCATTACTATGTTGTTAAAAATTGAGCGACCCTGAACAAAGGCCCCCTGATCCTTCTCCACCAGGTCCAGGAGGAACTTGGAGAGGCGACGCGCCAAAGACTTTGCGAGGATCTTGTATGATACATTCAGCAATGATATCGGACGCCAGTTCCTTACCTCCGCCTTGTCCCCCTTCTTGAATAGAACAGCAATCACTCCATGCGTCATGCCCCTACCCAGGCGACCCCCTACTAGGATTTCGTTGTAGAGTTCCACTAGCAAGGGGCCGAAGACCCTCCAGTTTGCAACATAAAATTCTACTCTCAGCACATCCACTCCGGGGGATTTTCCCTTTGCCATAGACTTGACTGTCTGTGTTAATTCCTCTAGGGTGAGGGGTCTATCCAAATCTAACTTTGCTGATGTACCCAGCCTTACTGTAGTGTCTTCGCACATGTTCGATTCCCTGGAGAGGTCCGAGTTCACGTCGTCCAGCGGTCTTCTAGTCGTGAGGATGTCCTAGTAGTATAGACTTGCATATTGGAGCATGCCTGCTGCTGTGCACGCAGGAGGGGCCGACTCATCGAAGGGGTGCTTTAACGCATTCATCTGTTGCTGATTCCTGCTAGGCAACAGTTTGCGAAAGGTCTCCTTCGACATCTTGTCGTGCACCTCGATCACTTTCTCTTTGAGCAGATCTGACCACCTTTTCTGCTTTCCCTCTTGCAAGACATCCCAATCCGCCATCCTCCTTTCCCGCTTCGCTGCCCATACCATTGCTGAGATTGGATGGCCCCCCATGCGGTCCTCTGCTTCCTCCACTTTCCTTTTGCAATCCGCTTCTTCTTTGTTCCTGGATCTGGCCAAGATCCTCGAAATCACGTCTAGTACCCCTGAAGAAATGGCTATGCCTCCATCCAACCACTCTGAAGTTGAGTTGAACAGCGGTCTAGTGCTCTCCCAGCTAGACACTCAAGATCTGGCTGTTGACACGAAAGAAACCCCTGCCCCTCTCCATCCCCAGGTGCAGCGTAATGTCCGCGACCACCGGCTTGTGGTCCAACACTGGGTTCCCCTCTTGGCGCACTGCGGTAACTCTCTCCATTAGCTGATCCGCAAGCAGAAAAAAATTCAGTCGCCTCCTCGTTACTAGCTGCCTATTCCGAAAGAGGTTTGACGTCCAGGTATACCCTGGGTCGTCTGGGTTGAGGATCGGGAACGGGTCCCTCAGGTCCAATTCTGTGCTGAAGTCTAACAGCGTTAGAGCGTCCTTTCTGTTTCCGTGGGGGCGTACACCGTCATGATGGCCCATTCCTCACTCCCTATCCCAATCTTCATCCAGGCCCACCTTCCCCAAATGTCTGTTTCTGAATCAATCACCTGTGCCTGCAGGTCCCGGTGCAACAAGATGCCCACACCTCCCCGAGTGCCCAGGGCCGGGGCCCAAACCTGCGGGCCGTCCCACCAAAGTGCAATGTCCCTTAGTTTTTCTTCATTCAGCTTGGATTCCTGCAGCAAAACCACGTTGACCTTCCGTTCGTGAAGCCAACTCTTCACACGACTCCTTCTGGCTTTACCATTCGAGTCCCCTAACCCCCGTACATTCCAGGCGACAACTCTGATTCTATCCATTTACTGTGTTGCCTTCCGCTTGTGATTGGATGCGGGTGTCTGACTGAACTCCATTGTGTGATTGTGTACCCACGTGCTTCCTTGCTGCTGTGCCCTTGGAGCAGCGTTGTGATCCACTTCGGCTTGAGTCGGATCGATAGGATGAGGAGCGCCATTCTTCAGAAAGTTTACCTGCCAAAAAGTTAGAGTGTAGGTCCTCCCCCGGTGCCAGCTTCTCGTTCACATGCATCAGCACTAGGGCAGAGATACCAGGTTTGACCTTGATGTGTTCCAGCTCGCTCGAGTTCCGCTCCCGAACCAGGTCCATATGGAACCACCTGATTCTAGCTTGGGTGAGAGTCTCTGCGACTTCCGAAGGGACTCGTGCGTCAAGCAGCGGGAAATACATCTTTATGTACCCCTCGTTTGATTCGCAGATGACATGGACCATGGTGGAATGTGGGATCAGCCTCACTGGGATATGCTCCCCGTACATAATCTTTGTCACCTCCATGATCTTTGCAGGTGTGGGAGATTGGTCCACAACCAACGAGGGGATAATTGGGCTGCCTTCCCTGTCCGTGACAGTCAAGATACAGGGGCCTTCCGTGGTCCTGGAGCATATCAGTGGGATCAGACATCGCTGAACCGACTCCATCCTGTTTCTGTCAATCGTTTCAACCCTGTGGTTTTTCCCTGGAATTCGACTCCTACCGGACGCAGTTGAACTCTCCATTGACGACGACATCCCTGAAGCGCTAGAAGAGTTCCCGTCCTTCTCCCCGCATTCACTTCCCCACCTGACTCTCGAGCGAGACGTCTCTGGAGTTTTCGATAATTCCCTTTGTAGTTCTTCTTCTCCTTCCGGGATGCCCCTCGGTTCCCAGGCCCTGAACTCAACCTCCCCTGTTCTTTCTACTAGATTCTGGTGCTGCTCGTTGTGTCCCCCAGCTAGAGTGCTGGCCCCCCTATTCCACTGACTGTCCTCTTTCCATGCATCCCAACGGGCGCTGCTGGCCCTTGAGCGTCGCCTGTTCACTCCGCCTGTTCACTCCGCCTCTTGTCTCCCATCTAGGTCCCTCCTGTGTGGAGAAGCCCCTTCCCTGTGCCTGTGGAGCCAGGTTCCTCCAGTCATAAGACTCCGAAGGATACCTGGGCTTCGAATGTTCCACTAGTACCTGCTGTGTTGATCTATATCCCCCTCCTGGGACTTGGTAAGAGCCCATCCCTTCTGGTTCTAGTTCTAGCTGCTGTTGCTGGTGGTACTCCAGTCTGTGCCAGTGCTGCGGCATTTCTGGTCTGAGGTCTAAGTCTGGTCTGACTGGATTATGGCCAGAGCGGTGCCCGTGGCCCATGTCCTGTCCTGACTAGTCGCCCCTGGTCGTCCACGGGGCTAACAGTGCAGTACCCCCTGCTGGCACTGCGTCTCTGTTCCATTGAGGCTCTTGGTGAACTGTTCCATGTACTCCCCACTCGACTGGGAAGCTGGACTGATGTTGGAACTGAGGCCTTTGCTGGAGCCACCCATCCGCTCCCATCCCCGAGACTAGGCCGTGAGCGCCCACTCCCTCCTGTGCATACAATGGGTGACCGTGACTTGCGTTATGATTAGGATGACTTGGATGAGGTTGTCCATGCATAGGCCGACCTTGAGCTTCTGGCTTACGTGGCATTGCTCTAGGACTTGCTTGTGTCCCTCTCACTTCCTCCGTACCTTCCCTCGCCTCCCTTGCCTGGTTCCGCAGGTGCTAGCGATATCTCACTTTGTGTCCTCCCTGTCTGCCTCTGCTACCCCCGCGCCCTTCTTCGCTTTGCTTGTATCTTGGACAGTTGTCTTCAGTGTGGTAGTACCACTTGCACCGACGGCACCAGTCGGTGTAAGGAGATACTACCTCC